GAGGAGGAGGAGGAGGAGGAGGGAGGGAGGGAGGAAGAGAGAGAGAGAGGGGGGGGAGGGAGAGAGAGAGAGAGAAGAAGGAGGAGGAGGAGGAGGAGGAGGAGGGAGGGAGGAAGAGAGAGAGAGAGAGAGAGAGAGAGAGAGAGAGAGAGAGAGAGTTCTACATAGGAGAAAGGCCAAACTAACATAATCCACTGGCATGAGAATACTCATAAAGGACAGAAAAGACAAACTCAAAATCTTTACAGGTGGTGGCATACAGCTAGGATCCCAGCACTTGGGAGGCTGAGGCAGGAGAACTGTACAAGTTTGAGACCAACCTGGCTACATTACAGTTGCAGGTCTGTCTGGACTAATGTGAGACCTTGTCTTCAAAATCAGACAAACAAAAATCTTTCTGTGTGGATTTATTTGCTATATTTATTTTGTAAAAGACCAAATCATAAATGAGGCAAATAGCTAGGTACACTAGCTGTAACCTCAGTGCTTGAAAGGAGAAAACAGCCTGGCAGTGACGGTGCATGCCTTTAATCCCAGCACTTGGGAGGTAGAGGCAGGTGGATTTCTGAGTTCCAGGCCAGCTGGTCTATAGAGTAAGTTCCAGGACAGCCAGGGCTACACAGAGAAACCCTGTCTCAAAAAAAAAAAAAAAAGAAAGAAAGAAAGAAAGAAAAGAAAAGAAAACTAAAAAGAAAGAAAGAAAGGAGAAAACGGGAGGATCAGGAGTTCAAGGCTAACCTCACATACATGCTATATACCAAGTTTGAGGCTTCCCTGTAGTACATGAGACAGAGTATAAAACACACACACACAGTTCTCAACCTATGAGTCTCAACTCCTTTAAGCATTAAATGATCTTTTCACAGTGGTCTCCTAAGGCCATAGAAAAACACAGATATTTACATTATGATTCATAACCATAGCAAAATTACAGTTATGAAGTAGCAATGAAAATAATGTTACGGTTGGGGTCATCACAACATGAAGAAATGTATTAAAGCATTGCAGCATTAGGAAGGTTGAGAACCACTCACTGCTCTAGAGGATCGTAGTTTGATTCCCAGCACCCACATGGCAGCTCAGAACCATCTGGTAACACCAGTTCCAGGGGACCTAATGCTCTCTCTGGCCTCCATGGGGAACAGGCATGTAAGTGGTATATAGACATATATGTAGGCAAAACATTCATACACATAAAATTTCAAAAAAATATTTTAAATGGGTCTAAGCCACAATATATTCTATGTACCACAACAATGTACCTTTGCAGACAATGTATAATACAGCCACCACTAGTAAACAGACAATCTATAATATGACACATCTTCAATAAAACAGCCTATCTTTATTATTTAAAAACAAGAGAAGAAACAGGAAGGAGGTGATAAAATTAAACAAAGCTCTTTTTTAAAGAAAAGACAAATCAGAGGCTCATCACTCAAGCACTAAGGAAGCTGCACACAAGGGTCAAAACTTCAAGGCCAGGGTAGGGAGATGGCTCAGTGGGTAAAGCACTTGCTTGCTATACAAAGCATGAAGACCTGAGTCCAATATGTCATATAAACATATAAAAAGCTGGCATGGCCGCACACACCTGTAACCCAATGCCAGGGATGGAGACAGAAGGAGCCTAGCAGCTCACCCAACCAGCCAATGTAGCCCCATCAGTGAGCTCTAGGTTCAGTGATGACCATGCCACAAAAAAAAAAAAAAATGAGGTAGAGGGGCTGAGGTGTCTCAGTGGGTCAGGACAGAGCTTCCTAAGCAAGTCTGAGAACCTGAGTTCAGATCCTCAGAACCACATAAAGCTGGGGGAAACAGGAGGCAGAACAAGAGCATACTGGGAAGCTCCTAGGTCATCCAACTAGGACTACACAGTGACAGACAAAAGACCCTCAACAAGAACCAACACTTGAGATTGTCTTCTACAACTCGCACTAGAAAATGTACACACCGGGGCTGGAGAGATGGCTCAGCAGTTAAGAGTACTGACTGTTCTTCCAGAGGTCCTGAGTTCAATTCCCAGCAACCACATGGTGGCTCACAACCATCTGTAATGTGATTCAGTTCTCTCTTCTGGTGTGTCTAAAGAGAGCTACAGTGTATTCATATACATAAAATAAATTTAGAAATATTTAAAAAAAAAGAAAAAGAAAATGTACACACAGTACACACACACACACACACTGCACAAGCCCATATATGAGTCTAGCCTGAGCTACAGATTGAGAAATGAAAAATTGGTAAGAGATGAGAAAATTTGGTAAAGGTCTAAGCAGTAGATGGCACTGTTCATTATCCTGGTTATAGTACTGTTCATTATCCTCGTTATAATGGTTACAAGGGAGGATGTCCCCTTTCCCCAAAGCATACAGAATGGATAACTCAAAGGCTCATCGTATGCAACGAATGACAGGAATCAAGCTAGACTGGGGAGATACTGCACAGATGTTTGTCCCTTCTATTTTAACAGACTTTTGAAAACCTTAATAACAGAAAGGGAAAAAAAAACACAATCTATTCCCCAGGTGTGTGATATTCTAGATTACAAGAGATGAAACACATAACCACCAAAGGCAACAAGTAAGTATTATAGTGGTTACTTGGGCCACAACTCAGGAGACTTTAAACACTGGACTCTATTAGGTATTCAGGGACTATTGGGGTGTCTTAGTGTGCTAACATGGTGTGCTGACACAGGGAGTTTCATCATCCTAGCCAGGTGTATGCTTCAGTGCCACAGTACAGTATCCTTTGAAATGGGATGGCGGTGGTGGGTAAGCAAGAGAGATAAGCAAAGTGTGATAAAATATTAACATTATCAAGGCCATCCTGTGAATATGTTCATGTTCACTGTTCAATTCTTACATAAATCTGACATGTTCGAATTTTTAAAAGTCTCAGAGAAATGGATACTTTTCTTCTTTTGAGACAAGTTCTTTCAAGACACAATAGGTAGGAAAGTGGTTGGATAGAGAGACAGATGGATGATAGACAGACGTCCACCCAGGTAGACTTGAACTCCCCCATAACCCAAGCTGGTATCAAGCAATCAATCTTTCTGCCTCGACGTGCTGGAATTTCAAAAACACACCATCACACCCAGTAGTTCAGAATTTCCAGCTATTTTGAATACCCAATATTGAAGGCCATTGTAACAGCTCTTGGTTCATATTTACAATAAGAATCTACTCGCCCACTCATTCATTATATTGTCAAATACTTTACCTACCTGAGTAAGAATTACAGCATTGGACACATGCTCCAAAAAATTCATCCTTTTGAGGCGGATCATAGTTCAAAACACTGAATGGGAGAATAATAGCAAGGACTGAAAAAGGATGGATCTGTATAAATGAAACAAAATTTAGGCTTCAGCAAAATTAATTTTAACTTATCGTTTCAAATAAAGTCTAACACGTCTAAAATGAAGGTACAGATGTACCACTTACTAACTCTTGCGTCCCAAAATGATTTAAAGTTGTGACTATTAGTAACCATAAAAATGTTAATATAAAAAGAAAAAGCCAGCCAATCTACGACTTAATTCTGCTAGGTGTGATGGGCTGTTCTAGGCTCCATCACTCACTGAAAATGAACAGGAAGCAGCCCCTGTTATTTCCATGCCACCAGTGCCTGGAGTCAGGCAGGCTCTCACTCTACAGCCCAAGCTGCCCTCAAACTCAAGGTCAGTTGCTAGGATCGTGGGTGTGAGCTCTGACACCAGGCACTGGGGTTAGACCTAAGGCATACATATCTATACAAGCACTCCTCCACTGGGCCACGCCCGCTTCTTTGTCTCAGCTGCTTATTCACTCACTCATCTAAGCACGTGCCGGGCACAAAGCTAAACAAGTAAGACATCTTGTTCAGTTGTGAAAAATACTAGCTTCTAAATAAAGACCTTATCCTAATATATATACCATAGTCATTTTGTAAGTAAGCATCTTCTCACATGACCCATAAAGAAGCGTTTCCAGTGTAATTTCAGAAACAGATATATACTGACAACTCAGGAACGCTGATTTCAGTGGATACCTTACACATTTCTCAGGCTTCACACTCATCTCTTATTTCGTGTGTGTGTGTGTGTGTGTGTGTGTGTGTGTGATGTGCATGTGCATGTGTGTGTATGTGTCACATCTGAATGTGTAAGTCAGAGAATAGCTTTGTGCAGTTGGTTCTTTCCTTTCAAGTTTATACGAATTCTGAAGAACCCACTCAGGTCTGTCAGACTTGCTTCATTAGAGAGAAAGAAGTTCATTTACTCACTAATTCATCTTGTCAGGCCTGTAACAGTGATACCCAGGATTATAGAAAAAATGAAAAGTCAACTGTCTACCATGCAAATATACCTAATATTTAAAATATTGCTTTCTAATTAAACAAGTTTCACAAGTTGTGATAGCACATACTGGTAGGATTTGTTGAAGGAAGTGGAGGCAGGAAGACCACGAGTTTGAGGCCAGCCTGGGCTACAAACTTTAAAGACAGGAAGTAGTGGCATACATTTTTAATCCTAAGACTTGGGTGACAGAGGCAGGTAGGATCATTTTGAGTTCAAGGCCAGCCTGGTCTATGGAGTGGAGGACATCCAGGGCTGTTACACAAAGAAACACTGTCTTAAACAAAAATAATAAATAAATAAATAAATAAATAAATAAATAAATAAATCTGACCTCTGACATAGTGGCATACACCTCTAATCCCAGCACTAGGAGGCAGAGGCAGAAAGACCTCTGTGAGTTCTAGGTGAGCTTGGACTATGCAGTGGGTTCCAGGTCAGCCAGACCTACATAATAAGATCTTGTCTCGAAAACAAAACACCCCCCTACCCCGACTTCTGATCGTAAGGGCTGAAGGACTAAAGAACCAATCCCACAACTCTCCACATCTGTGGCCAGAGGAGCAAAGCATACACTCTGGTTTGTTTTGTTTGAGACAAGGTCTCTGTTCACTTTGACCTTAAACTCCTGGCAATCCTCCTGCTTTAGCCTCCTAAATGCTGAGGTTATAAGTATGACATCACACCTTGACCTGAAGCGATTTTAAAGAGAAAGAGAATAAACTGATGAGCTAGAAGCCAGAGGTGGGTTTTTAAACGTCACACTGTGATCTAAGTTCAGAAAGTAATTAAGGACCTATAATTATAAGTAATGGCTAACATTTAAGTTTCACCTTTTCAATCTGCTGGACAACCACTGAAGCTATCCTATCGAGCAGCAGAGTGCTGAGGTAGTTAGTTTTGGAAAGAAAAGATGCGATCTTGGCAACATTGCTGTAATCGATTTCATCCGCGAAACGCTGCAGGGCAGCGACCGAATCTTCAACTAAGGATTCGTGAAGCCATTCTCCCTTCAAAGACTTAAGCCCCTCCCACAGAAGATCCAAGCTGGTGCTCTCTTGTAGCCGGTGATGGCCCCAGTAATCCAGCTTTTGAAGGAGGTCCAGTTGCTTTCCAGTAGTACTAGCCAAGCATACGTGATCATTCTGAATCCAGCGCATGAGACAGACTACCAAATCACTCAGTTCCCTGAAGTCACACTTCGGTAAAACTGCTTCTATGCGGGAGATCGCTGTTTCGTTGAGGTGAGGATACGGCAGCATGGAAAGCGCAGAGACCAGGACAGAAATCTCACTGGGTGTGACACTAACTTCCAAACGACTACCATGTAAGGGAAAAGGGAGGAAAAACAAACAAACAAAAAGAGAACATAATCAATATACCAGCAACAACAAAAACCACCCAAAATAAACGAATTAAAATAGAGTTACACAACTGTTCTTAACTGGTGAGGTAAGTTTAGAAAGCCACTTCATTTAAGATTTATTCACTGGGGACAGGTCTCAAGGGGTCACTAAGGAAAGGCTAAGGTGATATAACCATGCTCCAAACTTTTTTATGCAAAAAAAACCAAAAACAACCAAACAAACAAACCCACCATCACTGGGAAGAAGGGGTCAGCATCAGAACAGTGCCCAGTGCTGATGCTGGGGAGTGTCCGAGCTCCGTGTCTGTGTAACCATCAGGAGCTGCTGTGACCTTGAGTAGTTCCTGGCATGGGGGATCCTCAATGCCAGTTCAATTCCCTTCTTATTTATGTGCACAGGACATACAGCCTTAAGTCACTGACAGACAGAAGGACACATACACACACCCGACCTCATTCTCTAATCTTCCTTCTCTAAATCTGCACAGTAACTATCTTACCATGAGAACAGTGGTTCTTTTTTGTTTTTTTTTTTGTTTTTGTTTTGTTTGTTTTTTTTTTGAGACAGGGTTTGTTTTTTGAGACAGGGTTTCTTTGTGTAGTCCTGGCTGTTTCAGAATTTGCTTTGTAGACCAGGCTGGCCTCGAATTTAAGAGATCCACCTGCCTCTACCTCCTGAATGCTAGGATTAAAGGCGTGTGCTCCCACTTCAAAAACAGTAGCTGTTAAACAACAAATTAAGAACTGGCCACTTTAAGGAACCTGTATGTTTAGAAGGGTAGAAGACATGATTCAATCATAATAAATTAAAAACTGAGTTGCTATTATTTTATTATGTGTTGTTTTTGGAAACACACACACCACTGATTGCCTGGCATATAAAATAATCATAATATTCCATGCTAGTCACAGTGCATCGGCAAAGGCATTGCCATTCATTATTAGTAAGCTTAGAGATTAAATTTAGTAACACTTTATTTTAGCCCAATCAAATCGGTGGATAACTGTGTAACTTCCAAATTAGAATACAGTGTTACATATCCAGAGAAAGTAAGGTAATTTTCAGTTATTAATGTAAGTGGAAAACTGTATGAAAAAATGTTTTTTTTATTAACATTACCATTATATGTTTGTTTAGTTGTTCAGTGGGGATCACACTCAGGGTTCATATATGCTAGTACAGCATGTTATGTATAACCCAGACCTTAGGAATTCAGTAATAAGCCATTCAGTTTTATCCAGAAAACTCCAGATACATGGAGAGATTTTGAAATGAAATACTAACTTAATGCTTTATTTTTTAAAGACTTAAATCTTACCTGAGAAGTAATTCTCTGAGTTTCATAAAAAGCTCCTTACTTTGACATTGTAGAAAAGTCAATGCTTGTATTATCTTCAATAGCTCTATCGATTTATAGTTCCCCAAATGTTTATACAGAACAGAAACAATCCTAAAAAGAACACATATTATAAACAAGCCATTCACTTATTTATTAAACAATTGCTAGACAGACTTCATGCTACACACTCTATGTTGCGGATCAGTAAAATTATCTCATTTTCTGTTTGTCCAGAACTCTCTCAAGACATTGAGAGAAACATAAATAACTAAAATAAAGAACAATCATGAAATGTAAATTTGAAAAGCACAACTGTAGGAGTAGAAAGATCACTTAGCAGCTAAGAGCACTGGCTGTTCAATAAGGCCCGGGGTTTAGCTCCCAGCACCCACATGGTGCCTCACAATGATCTGTAACTCCAGTTTCTGGTCTCCTCCAGCACCAGGCATGCATATAACATAAATACATATGTGCAAGCCAAACACACAATTTTTGTACATAGTAGTTTTTAAAGGAGAGCATAGCTTTAAAAGGGGGGAGGGGGGAGAGAAAGTCTCACAGAGCAGGCATCAAATTCCATCCCCCGCTGCCAAGAACAGTTTTATCATAAGTTGCTAACATTTAGCAACACTAATCTCATTTTCTCCCATAATCTTCTGGCCCTCATGTGGACATGCTAACCTTGATTGAGAGAGGAGGAAGGGGAGGAAGAAGAGGAGGAGGAAGGGGAGGAGGAGGAGGAGGAAGAGGGGAAAGTGATGAGAAATGACACAGAGGAGCTGTCACCAAAGAGACATACGATAAAGAAAAATTAAGCATATGCAATTTGAATGTTTTTTTTTTCCTTCTTAAATCTCACATTACCAATAAGCGACTGTACGACATTACAGGCAACAGTGAGACAAGTCCACATGGAAGCTTCGGGAGCGGGAGACACAGAGCCCTTGCTCTATGCACTGGGACACTCTGCTCCAGTCAGTAAAGGAAATAAAAACCGCTGTCAACAACTCTGTCTCTGTTCTGAAATCCCAAACGGGAACATAAGCAATGCCTTAAGCGGTCACTCCTTATTACTTCAAAACAATCAAACACAAGTATTTCTGTCAGGAAACAAAAGATACTTATGAGTGACAACTACACTTAGCACTATGAACTTCAGGAAAGACTACCTTTTAATCAAGTGTGAACTTCTGCTTTCCATATTCTCCATTGCTCCCAACACGGTCAGCACTTGCTGGCTGCTCAGCTCCTCCAACAGCAGCAGCAGAGTTGACTTAAGCCTAGAAGCAAAAATAAATATTTTTTTTAATGTTAGAAAGCTAGCTTTCAGTTTGCGTTAATGAATAGCTTTAGGGTACCAAATAGAAAACTACAAATCCCTCTTCTGTGGAAGTCTTGGAAGCCCTGCTTAAGGGAAAGAGCTCATGACACTTTTCTACAGATTGCTACCATTCCTGGGCTGGGGAAACGGCTCAGCAGGTAAGAGTGTGAGCTACTCTTGCAGAAGACTCACGTTTGGTTCCCAGCATCGATTTCAGGTGGTTCACAATCACCGGTAACCCCAGCTCCAGGGAGTTACAATACAGGACAGAGGGCTTCTGCATTCACACATGGTGATACCCAAAGACACACGCGTATACATAACTAAAAATACTTTTAAAGACTCCTATAATTCTAAACATTCCATACACTTATGCTGTGTAGGGGAATCTTATGCACTGCATAACTCTGGCCTCGTAGCCTAGGAAGGGAGAATCTAATGATATTTGCGTTTTAATTTAACATCTACTCATCTTCTACCAATTATTTCAATGTTTTAAATGGAATAAGATCTGACCAAAGTACCATAAATATTCCTAGGTATATCATATCCAACCAAATGTCATGCATAGATCTATACTCCAGATATTTGGGAGGCTGAAACAGAACCGCAAGTGTTCAAGACTTGCCTGGTCAACTTAGTGAAACTGTCTCCAAATAAAAAGTAAATAGGTAAGAGTGCTGGTCTAGTATGTGGAAGACCTTAGGTTCAACTCATGGAACAACAAAAAAATTCAACTAAATATTCCAAATATTTGTATCTATACCAATGTCCTATGAAAACAGAAATTCTCAAGCCTGGTGTTGTAGGGCACCTGTTACTATGCACCTAAGTGCTTTTGTTTTGTTTGCCGGTGTGTGTGTGTGTGTGTGTGTGTGTGTGAGAGAGAGAGAGAGAGAGAGAGAGAGAGAGAGAGAGAGAGAAATGGGATCCTGTTTTGCAGCCCTTGGCTGGCCTGGATCTCCCTCTGTAACCCAGGGTGGCCTCCTCCCAGAGACTGGGATCACAGCCAGGCACCACTTTATCCAAAGAAGATATGCTTCCTTATTTTTCTTTTTAATTACTGCTAATAGTTTTGTTTCAATATACCTAGGTGATATATATAAATATATATATATTTGTAAAATCATTTCTAATAACAGAACTATTTGTTCTAGAATTAGAATAAATATTTGTAACATGTTACATTAACATTGCCTTAGTTAGGGTTTCTATTTTGGTGATAAAACACCATGATCAAAAGAAACTTGGGGACTTTGATGGCGCACATGATCAAGTAACGAGGTAACAAGATGCACTGTTTAGACTACTACGTATGGTCTAAGCAGCCCAGTCTCTTCTGCTGGGTTACGAGTCTTACACTTCTGTGCAAACCCCAGAAGGGCTAATCAAAATACTGAGGTGGAGCCCCCATCTTTTATCTTGGCCCACAGTTTAGAACACACCAGTAGTCTAAAAGTTGGAAATGCAAATGAAAGTCATAAGAGTCACAGGTTATTTCCCCTTCCATAGCAGAACCGGGTGATCTGAAGAATCCAGCATGAGAAGTAAAGCATTTTAAAGTGAGCTTACTGTTTCTTGATCTCAGGTCTGGCCACCGGCCCCAGCGCCACAAACAATCTAATGAAGCTTTCCAGGTGGTCAGAAGGGAGGGCCATCTCAGCCAGCCTCCTTTGAGCCGCTTCAACAAATTCAAAGCTGTGGAACTGCAGCGACTGATACAGACTAAGGACTCTACTGACAGACTCCAAGTCAAGATGGCTCATACTTGTTATGAACACTTGATTACACTTCTCTAACAGTGGGTAATAACTGTATTTGACATTTCGAAGAAACAGTAGTATCCTTCTTGAAATGTTGACTTTGGAAGAATCTACAGTGTCAAAAAGAAGTTCTGCTCTGGTCACCAGTCGCTCCTGAAAACACGGCGATATTAAAGAAGAAATGCTGACCATCAAGACAGACAAGGCCCTGAAGGAGAAAAAAGATACACATTTTGATATCACAAACAAAAATGAGCAGTTCTAAATTAAATGACTAGATGTAGCAAGAAACTGGCAAGCATATTGTTTTATGCCATAAATTGTCTCATTCATTTATTCATTTTTTTTTCTAGCACCATTAGAAACAGTCATCTGGCTCTGACCCGGGAATATCATGTTTTCTGCTGCTACATGCGAAGATGTGACAGATGGCTGGGGACATGGCAGGCAAACTTGGTGAGTTAAAAATCTTAGATGCTTCAGAGAGCTCAACAATACCACGTAGCTTTTGCCATCACTGTTTTATAGATGAAGATGAGGGGATCACAAGAGATGAAGTTATAATGACTGACAGATCTCTATCTGCACCCAAAGTCTGCACCCACACACCCACACAACGCTCCCAGATAGAGGTACCTTAAGTCCTGTATGGTTTCCAGTCTCCTATTTACAATATCAGCTATTTCTCCCATTAATGGACTAAGATACAAATTCTGATCGGCCAGGCAAGTGGAAAATATTGACAGCACATTAGTATCAAACCTATTAAAAGAAATGCAAGTGAGATCATCAGTATCAGTAAGAACACATGATGCAGTTGTGAAATAAAAAGCAAAAAAAATGCTAATGCCATTTATCTTAATGCTGTTCATACAAGATGAACAGCGTGTGTCCAGCATGTGTAAGCAAGACCTTGGGTTTGGGTTTGAGCCTCAACATAACAAAACAAAACAAAAAAAAAAACAGTGAGAGGTATGTTTCAATGGGTATATTTTGAATACGCTTAAAACACATTGTATGTCGCCACAGCCCATCTATACTTACAGAAGGGAGGAGATGTCAGGGGCAGCCCTGCTTACACACTGAAGGCCTAAAATCAGCCATAGGCCTGTCATACATGTATGCTAACACCAAGTCTTGGGTCTCTGTGGATAAACACTGAAACAGATGGCTATAAGCTACTGTAAACAGGCAGTTTTGTGACAATTTACCAGCCTGAGTAGTCATAGGCCTTGTAAATAGGTAGCCTTGGCAGATATTACCAACTTAGATAAGGACAAGTGAATCAAAGGGAGAGCCATAGCGACCTGTCCCCTGAAACCTCACCCAGCCAATAACTGGTTCTGAAAGATATCTGTATTCCCCCTGAACACCCACGCTCCAATGTCATCCCCTTCCCCACGTCCTGCCTTTTTGTGTTTATAACCCCTGTGTGAATGAGTATAAATTACAATTTGAAAAAAATAAATAAACTATATAAAAAACACATTGTATGAAATTCTCGAAGAATATAAACATTGTATTTTTAAAAAATCAAATTTTCCAAGAGGAGTTGATTATTTATTATTATTATTATTACTTTTTTTTTCTGGTTTTTCAAGACAGGGTTTCTCTGTGTAGCCCTGGTTGTCCTGGAACTCACTCTGTAGACCAGGCTGGCCTCGAACTCAGAAATCCACCTGCCTCTGCCTCCCAAGTGCTGGGATTAAAGGCGTGCGCCACCAACGCCCGGCTATTTATTATTATAAAAGTACCAAATGATGATACTTTTAGAAAGATTTAAAAGAGAATCACTCAAAACTATTTTAGTTTTACTTATAATCTTTTTTAGGAGACATAGAATGCTGACTCATTTGCATATTAGCAAATAAAAGTTCTATGAAAATTTTTAGAATTTAAGCATGGGAAAAGGATCCAATCCCTTCCAGTGAATGGCAAGACAAAAGTGAGATGTTATACATTTCAATGTTTTCCTTTCCCTTTCTTTTCTGTTTTGGGAGTTCTGGAGAGCAAACCCCGGGGCTTATACACACTCTGGCAAGCATGCTAACATTAAGCTACATTCTCAGTGACTAGGTTTTAATGTGTTGCTATTATTTGTTTTGTTTATTAAAAGCACCAGTGTTAGGGCTACAGAGACGGCTCACTGGTATATACTTCTCTTCAGGGGAATCCTGGAAGAATAACTTTCTAGCATTCACATCAGGTGCCTCACAACTAGCTGTTAACTCCAGCTCCAGGGGAATCCAACACCCTCCTCTGGTGTCTGCAGGCACCTGCACACATGTGCACATAATCCCCCACCCAGCACACATATACAAATAAATTAAAAAAAAACAAAAAAAATCTACTTTTAAGCATAAGGAAGTTCATTAGCAGCACAACACATAATAACCCAAAGTGCAAAGAATCCCCATATTTATTACCAATACAGTGGAAATGCTCTAACAGCACTGGACCTGACACTTACTTCCTTTTCTTTCCCCTTCTGAGTGAAGTCAAAACTTATTGACAGCAATATAAAACAAGCTAAGAAAGAAGGGTACCATTTAGCAGGAACATCAGATATTGGTGTAGATTTCTTTAGGAAGCTTTGAAGCAGACTATAATCTGTGGTCACTACCCACTCACAGAAACAGAGTGGCAGAAAACCAGGCATGTTTAACATTGTCGCATGCTCTCCCATTCCACCAAACTGCTGCCTTTCTTTTTGTTTCTTCCATAGCCCTGAAATCTAGGGATATTCTGTTGTTGATGATACTTATTTATTCCATGTGTTTGGGTGTTTTTTCTGCAGTATGTCTGTGTACTGACTGTGGTAGCTGCGGCCGTGGAAGCCCAGAGTAAGCCTCTCAGGAACTGAAGTAACAGACAACAATCTGTGACCTACCATACGGGTGCTAGGAATCACCTGCCAGGCCACCTTTTCAACCCGACATTTAAGTTTGTTTGTTTGTTTGTTTGTTTTATCTTCTGTTTCTGAAGCAGAACTCTTCAAGGATCAGAGCAACTAGTTCATGAATGCCTGTGACACCACCACGGTTACATTTTATTAATATGCATGTGGAAAAGTATACTGAAGCCTGCTGATTGAGAGGGAGACACCTGAAAGCCTTGCCTTTCTTTATGAAGTAAACACTACTCTTTACACAATTAAAAACCCTCCTCAAACAGGCCAGGCGTGGTGTTTGAACCCAACACTAGCGGCAGATGCAGGCAGATCTCTGGTTTTGAAGCCAGCCTGGTCTACAGAAGGAGTTCCAGGTAGGCCTGCCTCAGGGTAAACAAAACAAACAAGCACCTTTGGCACCTCTTAGGCCTTCTAGAATCATCAAAAAGAACATTTTGTACTGTGTGTTACAAATAGATCAGTGCTTCAGGAACTAGGAAACATCTTCATAGTAGAGACCTGAGTCTCCTTCAATCACTAGGAACGCGCCAGTCTATGAGAAAGAAACTACCAAGCCCAGAATTCCCTGCGAGTGTATTATCACAGCTGGTTTAATGTAGTGCCAGGGATGGAATCCTGGACCTCATGCATGCAAGCACACATTCTAACAAGCGAAGCTACATCCCCGGGCCCAGTACATTTTTTTCTTGTAAAATTTCATTCTTTTCCTATATTCCATTTTGATAATCTCCTGATCTTCTATGACAAGCCCCGCACACTCGCCTTTCCAGTCTTCTCCATGCTTCTGTGACCAGTGCTTCCATTAGTGGATGATGGGATTCAACTGCAAACCTCAATAAAAACAAGGGAAAGAACCTCTTAGTCATCAAAGCCAAGAGTCTGCAAATAGATCAACAAAGAGAGAACTTTGGCTTGCTACCAAGCATTAATCTGAAGACTAACTACTTAGCTATTATATTCTCATTGCCTTTAGCCAACCAACATATCTCCAACATTCCGAAATCAACCGGCTTCATGTACCAAAAGCTAGCCATTTCTACATTCCTAATTTTCAAAACCATATCACTAACTAGTATCAAAGAATGTCTTTCACAAAAAAAAAAAATCCTTAAAATATAACATTATCAGAAAAGCTATCTCCTGGAAAAATGGCTTTTCCGTTTTTAAAGGATTCTTAGAAAATTAAAATATAAGCTATAATTCTTTCCATAAAATTGAGAAGCCACTTACTGCTTTACACTGTATAACACACCCACCAGGGTGTCATCATTCATTGCTGAGATGTGATTTGTCGTAACATTGCAAAGAGTAAGAAACTGAGGATGGTTTCGAACATGTTCAATATTTTTTTCCAAGATGGTCTTCTGCTTCTGAAACTGCCGAAGTACATTAAATGCACAGCCCACTTGCTGTTCTGAGAGCGTTGCCATATTTTTCTCAATAAGATCAAACACTTGTTCTTCATCTGTACAGTTCTTCATCTGAGTAATTAATGACTCACAACTGAAGGGGCGGAATGAAAACGCTCTCCAAGAGAGTAGAGATATGCCTCGTAGACGGAACATATTTATAACGGACGGGTCTCCAAAATAGAGGTTTCTTTTCCTTTCGTAGCACAATTTTTCTTTTTTCTTTTTTTTTTTTTTAAAAAAAGAACAATTTGCGCTATAAGTCAGGTATAATGTGACAGTACAAAAACTGGCTTTCATTCATGTGTTTTATTTCCATCCTGGCGGTTCTAAATCCATTCCAATAGAGTCTGTAAAACAACTGGTTAACCTTGATTACTCTTATCTCATTGTTATCAAATTGATCAAATTCAAATTTCAAGTAACGAGGATTTTTCTTTTTGTTTGGACTACAGACTTTGTTCTTGGTCTGAACCAGCTAGATTTCATCCAAATGAAACAGCGGGGAGTAGGGGGGGGTGTCTCTTCCTGCACCTAATTTTAAAATGTTTCTTTTCAATTCTGACCACAAAGCAGCATTAGAAAACAAAATCAAAACTGGTTTGTTTGGTTATTTGCTTGTTTGTTTGTGGAGATAGTGTCTCATGCTGTGTCCAATCTACAACGATGGCAAAAAGGTGACCTTGGGGAAACCATTTAACTAAAGGAGACGCCTTGGGAGTGTGACACAATTGGAAGTGTGGTGAGCTGGCTTCGAGTGTCGCACAGCCCCACAGTTCACAGCCGACAGGTATCCCGAGCACCTGGTCCGCGGGAGAACTGGCCTCCACCTGCCCAGATGGCAACGGCGCTCTGCGCAGCAGAGAACCCAAACAGGGAAGGAGACCGCTGCTGCTAAACAAAACCACGCCTTCCCGGCGGAACCCTGCGGGGTACGGAAGGCAGAGCCACTGACCAACCGGCGAGTCCTTCCCACGCCCGCTACGGCCCTACAAGGCTGCTCTGGACGGCTCAGAAGGCAGGTATCATCCAAGGCCGTCTTGGAAGGGAAGCTGGCGTCTCTCGCTCACCAGTCGCGTCCAAGGGTATTTAGCCTTTCCTGGAGAAACTTCTCCCCGTAAATAGAGCGTGTCCCAGAGCGGAAGAAAAGCGGTCCTAGGGCGGCGTGCACCACGGAAGTTCGCACTACAGGTCCCAGAAGGCACCGCAAGAGGCTTGGCGGGTCATAGGCGCGCAAGGAATTCTGGGCTTGGTAGTTTTTTCTCGTAGGCTGTAGCGTTCTTAGTGATTGGAAGAGACTCAGATCCTTTAAGTGCATCACTACTATGAAGATGTTTCACAGTTCCTGAAGCACTGACCTACAAAATGTTCTTTTTGATGATTCTAGAAGGCCTAAGAGGTGGCAAAGGCGCTTGCCGCCAAGCCTGAGAATGTGAGTTCTATCCCAGGACCCCACAAAGAGGAAGAAGGTAACCAACTCCTTCCTATTGTTCTCTGACCACACGCACACGCATATACAGATGTACAAACATAATTTTAAATTTTTTAATGTTTTTTTTTTCAGAGCTGAGGACCGAACCCAGGGTTTTTATCAAAGATTTCTTTATGTGCAAGGTGTATGTTTTACCTCTTTAAATACTTAGAATTAATAATTATTTTATTATAGGTACCTGGTGATTAAGCGCATGTAATATTGATGATTTCACAAAAAGCATTCTTTGTCCAATAGGTGTACATATTTTTGAAAGAATAAAACACAATTACATACCATAAAACGTGTAAATCTATGTTTAAACAACAACAACAAAAAGTCTGTTGCAAGGACTTTAGAGGTGTCTCAGCATTTAAGAGCACTGCTGTTCTTCCAAAGAATCAGAACTCAATTCCCAACATTTACATGGCCCCTTACAACCACTTGTCAATATGGTTCCAGGGGGTCTGATGCCCTCCTCTGGCCTGTACAGGCACCAGGCAAGGCTTAAGTGCAACCAGAGAGCTGTTGGCATGCCATGCTGGTTGTCGTTGTGACTCATAGGTATCATAGTCGTGTAGGACTTGGTTGTTTCCTTTCTTTGCCTTAGGAAGCTGGCTTGGGGCCTTCTGGTACCATGAAAACTAGTCCTCACAGAGCAGGTTTTCAGGTCAGTTCCAGCTCAGGGGACTTTGAGGCCTTTGTCAGAAGTGCATGATATCCTTAGTAATAGGGACTTACCTTCCACCTCAGGGGGCAACCAAGTAAAATAGCAATAATGTTTGGAACAGCCTGTAATGTTTTGGATCTCTTGGACAGCCCTTACTATCTTAGTTGTTTTCCTACCTTTGTGAAGAGACACCATGACCAAAGCAACTTATAGAAGAGTTTATTGGGCCGGACAGTGGTGGCACATGCCTTTAATCCTAACATTTGGGTTCGAGGCCAGCCTGGTCTACAGAGTGAGTTCCAAGACAGCCCAGGCTATAAAGAGAAACCCTGTCTCGAAAAAACAAAAAACAAAAAAAGGAAGAGTTTATTGGGATCTTACAGTTCCAGAGGGTTAGAGACCATGACCATCATTGGGAGGAGCATGGCAGCAGACAGACAGGCATGTTGCTGGAGCAGTACCTGAAGCTTACATCATGATATACAAACAGAAAGAGAGAGAGAGAGAGAGAGAGAGAGAGAGAGAGAGAGAGAGAGAGAGAGAAGTGGGAATTGCATGGGCTTTTAAAACCTCTAAGCCCAACCCCAGTGACATTCCTCTTCCAACAAGGCCACACCTCCTAATCCTTCTACATAGTTCTACGAACAGGGAAGCAGGTTTTCAAATATACTTGCCTATGAGGGCTATTCTTATTCTAATTACCACACTGGTTTACATCTCAAAATAGGTCTTCTTATGTCTAGTGTTGGGGATTTTGTTAGATGTTATTTGGCTTTTGGAGGGATCACTACCAGTCCAGATGAGAAAGTTTCTTTAAATTATGTATGTGTCCTGTCCAGCAGGGCATCAGACAGGGGTCTGAGGAGATCACCTGAAAAAGAAGATGGGGGACACGCAAACACAAAGAATCATGCCTTGACTATAGGCTGATCAAACCATACTTTTCACTTTTTCACACAGGGGTTATACACACAAAAAGGCAGGACGTGGGGAAGGGGATGATGCAGGAGCGTAGGTGTTCAGGGGGAGTATAGATATCTTCCAGAACAGAGTGTCAGCTGGGTGAAGGTTCAGGCGACAGGCCACTATGACTCTGGCTATGATTTACTTGTCCTTATCTAAGTTGGTTCTATCCACAAAGGTTACCTATCTACAAGGTCTGTGACTATCCAGACTGGCAATTTCCCACCAAAACTGCTTGTTTACAATAGCTTATAGTCATCTGTTTCAGTGTTTTTCCACAGAAACCCAAGTCTTTTTGTTAGCAGGCATGTATGTCAGGCCTATTGCTGTTTTTTAGGCCTATGGCTGATTTTAGGCCTTCAGTATATCAGCAGGGCTGCCCCTGACATGTATCTATATTTAATACACTGACTCTGTGTATTAAAGGTATTGTTAGGTAAATAGCTCCAGTGGATAACTCCACACCCCAAAGCCTCTCCCTGTAGATAGCTCTGAGCAGGGAAACAGAGATGGGACTTTTAGTATTCCCGGGAAGGGACTTAGGGAGGAGAAAGAGGGGATTCTGTTATGATGAGGGTGTAGGAGATGGACCACTGGAAAGATGCAGGAGGGAGAGACAGCTGACAAGTAGGTGCAGGGGGAAAATGCCCCCAGGAGGTCTGCACAGCAAGGTCCAGGGCAGCAAAGATAAAATATAGATTTAATAAGTATTAACTCAGGAATATCAGAGGGGAATGTGTGTTAGCCAAGGGAAGGTTTGGAAGTGCCCAACCATTGAGCTGTTTAAGGTATTTAAAATATAAGTCTGCATGTGTGTTTCTTTTATTTATGAATCCAGAACATTTTGGCAGGTGGTGAGATGCACATGCACCCTCCGAGGAGTTTAGAGCAGATTAACATACTACCATTACATAAACTCTGGAGGTCAGGAAACAAATATGAATCAAAAATATATAGTAGGGAGATATTTGTAGGGGAATGGCCTTTGGTATGTAGAAGCTCCAAAAGAAAGTGGTGTGTGTGTGTGTGTGTGTGTGTGTGTGTGTGTGTGTGTGTCATGAATTAATAATCAAAACTTGAAAACGCACAAATTTCCAGAAGGAAAATGGCTGAATAAATTATACTTCATCTAAACCATGAAATAGTATATTTCTTTTCGAGACAGGATTTCTCTGTGTAGTAGCTGTCTGGCCTGAAACAGAGATCTGCCTGCCTCCTCTGCCTCTTGAATGTTAGGATTAAAGGCATGAGCCACCACCACCCATGAATGTGTCTTTATGAAAATAAAAGAAAGTTTCAGAATAATACATATGATATGATTCCATTTTTTTGTTTGTTTGTTTCAGGGAAGAAAGGAAAGGATATTATAAAACAGTGCGTGCGTGCGTGTGTGTGTGTGTGTGTGTGTGTGTGTGTGTGTGTGTGTTGGCTTCTGTCAGGGAGAGTCAGACGGGAACAACTCAGTTCTATTTAAGGAGCAGGCTACTGAGAGTTTGATCATCCTCCAGTGAGTGTATAAATAACACAAATTGGACTTTTAAAAAACATTTTCTTCTTTTAATTTTTAAAAATTTTTTGGAGGTTACGTCACAGGGGTGAGGGTGAACATGGAACGACTGGGAAATGAGTGGGATTGGAGCACATGAGGTAAAATTCCCAAGGAATCAATAAGAACATTGTAAAACTATATTGGAACTTAGCCATTCTCATACACTAATCGCATGTTCTATTGCTGGGCTAAATTCTCACCCATAGAAATGTCTATTGTATCACATTTCCTGGCCAGATGTGAAGAAACAGGTGTTCTATCCAGAAAGGTCACCAACAGCAGACAGGCTACCAACAGCAGGTCATCCTGCTCCATCCACGTCTACCCTGGTGAACCAATGGGGTCTGTTTGTGCTCTTACAGGAGCAGGAATTACTCAAAGGCAGCTTCATCACCAAACTGTTTACCCCAATGTGGACGACACATCACAGGAGTTCTTCACAACCTGTAGGCAGCTCCACCAAAGAGTCCCACCCCCAATCCCCGCCAACAGCTATCTGTTGTTTATGTAACTACTCCAGGGAGAGGCTTTGTAAGTTTTGCAACATTCTTGGGAGCTCTTGTGCCTTTCTTGTAATTTTGTGAACACTCTACCCTGCTCAAGATGATATTTCAGTCCAGAGGAAATAGCCATCACCCTTCAACCCTTACCTACATCCTTTCCACCTGTCTTCTGAAATATTTCCTGAGCTTTGGGTAGGGTAGTTATTTTCTTCCATTAATGACTGAGGATTCAGTTACTATGCCTCAGCGACAGTCACTTATACTCAGCACTTGACCACTTATGAGTCTTCTCAATAATCACCACCCACTGCAAAAAAGAAGCCCCCTTAACCAAAGTAAATGAGAACAATCTATAGGAATAAGTGCAAGTGCTTATGGGGCTGGAGAGATGGCTCAGCAGTTAAAAGCATGCATCACTCTTGCAGAGGACCCAAGTTCAGTTCCCAGGACCCAAGTCGGCCAGCTCGTAACTACACATAACTCTGGCTCCAGGTGATCTGATGCACTCTTCTGACATCATCAGGAGTGTGTGCACCTGGGGCCATGCTCTTAGTTACTGTCTACTGATCTGAAGAGACACCTTAACTAAGACAATTCTTATAAAAGAAAGCATTTGATTGGTAGTTCACTTACAGATTCAGAGGGTTAGTCCATTATCATCATGGTAGAGAGTATGACAGCTGGCAGGAAAGCATGGTGCTGGAACAGTAGCTGAAAGCTTTACATTCTAATCCCCAAGGAGTTGGGGTGGGGAGGTAGGGAGGGAGGGAACGAGGTAGAGGAGAGGAGAGAAGGGGGAGAAGGGACAGAGAGAGGAAGACAGAGACAGACAGACAGACAGACAGACAGACAGACAGAGGCAGGGCCTGGTTTGTGCTTCTGAAACCTCAAGGCCCATTTGCAGTGACACACATCCTCCAACACAGCTACACCTCAACTAGGGACTTAAGTGTGCAAATATATAAACCTATGGGGCCCATTTTTATTCAGACTCCTA